GTCTGACAAAGAACGCATTGTATTTAATCTCTACGGAAAGTATACCACAAAATACTTGAAACGAAAACCATATTAGATGATATAATGACTAGAAAGAGCAAGACTCCGAAAATTCGTTCACATTAGCATCCATATACCCCTATTTAAACGAATGTTCCTCTTCTATAAACTCACACGCCTATACCTACATCCTGCCTTTTTCACGTATGATAGAGTACGTCTGACTGAAAAATCTTTTTTGAAAATTGATCCTGGCCCATTTTAGAATGTTAAAGATACTTGCTTCAAATTTGAAACAGACAGATGCCATGAAAAGCGTTGTATTTATGGGCAAATGTTTCATTTTTCTTGGTGCAACAAGAACGTGATTCACTCTTTTTGTGTACTCAAAAAGTGAGTACACTCTAGAATCGGTCAGTGTGTCCGTCCGGCCGTCCGGCCGGCCGTCCGTCCGTTTACACGATAACTTTTGAAAGGAGAGTCAGATCGCGATGAAATTTTCTACACAGTTCAGTCTTAACAATATCTCGGTCGAGTTCGAAGATGAGAAGGATCCGTCAAGAAATGGCTGAGTTATCGAAAAAATTGTGATTTTTGACCAGACCATCCCTGAGGGGGGGTACGGGGATTCTTCGAAAAAAAAGTTTTTGCTCATAATTATTCACAAAATACATAAATCGACTCAGTTTTTAACGCTGATTCTGAATCTGATATTAGTTTTGAACTGAATCATAGTTTTGTGTACTCAAAAAGTGAGTACACTATAGAATAGTCAGTGTGTCCGTCCGTCCGGTTGGCTGTTTACATGATAACTTTTGACAGCAGAGTCAGATTGCGATGAAAATTTCTACACAGCTTAGTCTTGACAATTTCTCAGTCGAGTTCGAAGATGAGAAGGACCGGCCGAGCCGTTCCTGAGTTATTGCAAAAATACCCATTTTGCCGTATAGCTTTCTGTGGAAAAATGGACCCATCGCGACTTTCGTAAAAGACTTTTACTATCATAGTCAATTAGAACCCCAACTATTATATACCATTCGATAGAGAATTTCAAGAACTACAAAATGATATATAAAACATAAAGAAACAAGAAGGTTGACTTACTTATGACAAGGATAATTAAAGAGAACTAGGTTATATTTTTGTCCACGATCTAATTGATCCACAAATAGAGCTTTATCTTTCGGTCACACTGATGATACTTCGAGGTTTTCAGATATGGAGAACTCGAATGTGTACTGCACTTCCATCGAAATACTATTAGTTGTGCAGTGACCAATAGAAATGAAGTTATAGGGAAAACGACTTTCTTAGGGTAAATCAAGGGAAAGAGTTCCAACTTGAGCTGTATTCGGTCCCATGTCCTATTGGTTTGGCAACGCGCAATAGAAATCAACATTTTAAAAGGTAGATTTCATAGTATAATTTTGATATTCAGACAGTCTAGGATGATTGTTTTGTATGATTCACTTTTTGAAGTACACATAACTCTCGGATTTAAATCCGAAGTTTCCGCATTTATTTCAAATTATAATCATCATTAGACTGATCAATTCTTTTCTTCATTTTTTATTTTATTCTCATTCTTCGTATCATTGTAATTTCCTTATTAAGAAAAATGTTAGGTAAAGATCATCTTTTTTTATACTATAAGCAGCGAGGTGTAAGATGAGTTTGTAAGAATTTAGCTCGTGAAAATCTTCCTTTATTGAGATATAGCTAATAGTACGAATTCTTTTGGATTTTTTTCTATCCTATGAATTTTACCGACGAGAAAACTTTAAGCTCAACGAACAGGTATTTATGAGTATGACTTTCATATTACTAAGGTTACCAGTCAGTGGTAAGTATTATTTGCTAGTGAGGACATATTGGTCAGTTTAATTTTTGTCTCAAACAAAGCCTATTTGATGAACTTTGATCTAAAGTGTTCGAAATCATGAAATCCAGAGGAAGAGCACATAAGAAAACGAATTTACCTACATCAGAATTTTCGAAACAAGCCTATAACGGCTGAGGCAGATAAAATGGCTACACTTTGCATTTTAATTTTCAATTACTTAATACCAAGTTACATTTGCTTTGCAAATGGATAAGATTTTGAGCGATCGAATTTCGACCGTGAGAAAAATTGTCGCACAAAATTTTGTTGCTTTCGAAAACAAATACAATAAGCTTTACTATGTAAATTGTGTAGCTTTTCACGGTGCATCTAGTAGTATATTTTGTTTTTTTTTCAACTAAAAACTATCAGATGATAAGAAGATGAAATAAGAAAAAACGAATTCATCTTGTACAAAGAAAACCCCGCTTTTGCATGGTCGAAATTAGATCTCTCGAAATTCTGTGCATTTTGAAAGAAAAAAGTACAACACAACGTATTAAGCGAGTAAAAATTATAATGCAAAGTTTAGCCATCTAATCCGCCTCATACATTGTTTCGATGCAGAATGAGACAGCGAATCATTGGACACCGCATTTAATCTATTTAGAAAGCCAATCAATGGTTTCTAATCCAGATTAATATACCATATTGTCACTGCACCCAAACGGCTATATCCAACAATACAATAACTATAAGCTGAATTTACGATGAACTAATAGTGTTTCTATAGGGTTTGATGCACTTTTTGATGGACTAACAGTTGGCGTAGTTTTCTTCTAGTTATTTTATTAGCTAAAGCTTTTCAAGGTTTGATTATGCCTAAAACTGCAACCATATGTGCTGCCATTTCAGAAGAACATATGGTATTCATATTAACAAAACAGAAGCCGATTATGTGGTGTTCTGGAATCGATCTAGATCATTAGTGGAGGTTTCTCATCTGTACAAATATGATATCCACAAGAAAACTTTACCAGCGTGTAGTCCGTCAAAAACTGCATCATACTTTGAAGAGGACAGTCCATCGTGAAGCCATCTCCAAAGCAATTAAGAAGTCAGAACCTTCTGATATACCCGAAATATCGATAGAAACATTATTATCTCTCCATAAATTCAGCTTTTCATCTGAGAATTTGTAGATAATTTACTCGTCTTTCAAATGAGACTATTTATAGGCAGGCGAACAAATGTTTTCACAAAGTTATTGTTAGTGTACAGCCATCTGACTGCAGTAAAAATATAGGATTATAATCTGCCTCAGAAGCCATTGAATCGTTTTCAAGTAGATGATCTGTCTTTTTATGTGTCCTCCTCCTTTGTTCGTAGCTTTTCGAAATGTGCAATCTTAAGCTTTTTTCTCTGGAAGGACTATATTTCGAAAATAACGATACTACAAACTTTGAGAAACCATGAATGGATTCACATTTCTCAACTCCAAATTCATTTGATCAAGCTTGAAACAGTGTTATTTTCGTAAAATAAGTTTCTTTGGAGCGAAAAATTAAACTGACACATTTTCCATTATCCAATAGGATAACTTTTCAGTAATAGACATTCGCTGTCTCAGTCCTCTAACCAAATAAAAAGCACTTATCAATTACCCGATGCCAGCATATAGCTATACAGGTCATATTGTAACATCGTAGTATGATCACGATGTTCAACATTAGAAATCAATCATCACTCAACTCATCAGATGATAACTGTTAATAGACTGTCAGTGTTCTATTCATTGCGTAATCTCGAACAGTCGTAAAAAAACTTATTATATTCTAATTGTTGTTGTTAATTAACAATACGTAACATTCATGACGCGATGACAAGAGTTTTGCAACACGAACATACTGACATTCATTTGATTTCGAAACGGTCCGAAAATATCATCATTATATTCTAATTGTAGCTAATGGCATGTCCTTCAAGAATCAGTAAGAGAGAAACGAATGTGGTTCTGAACTCTTAGTTAGGTGCAGTTCATAATTCGTTTTCTCATCATGTTAGCTACTGTCTCTGTTCTTCCTCAGCCACTAGGAGTTTCGCGAGACTCAACGAGGTTTTATTGAAATGTGCTGGTTCTCATTCAGTTTTGTTTATAATGATCTGACTATTCTAAATAGCAAATCATCAGGATTATCGAAGTCTGATACGATCGATTAGGAATAGCTAAATCATAGTAACTGATCAGTCTTTATTTCTTTGTTCTTGCGTTACTTAGTTCCAAAATGTGAACTTAATTTTAAAGCAACTGCCCACAATCCAATTAACTATAAGTATGGTCCACGAGCAGTTGCCATGGGAGACTTCAACAACGATACCTCGCTAGATATTGTTGTTGCCAATTATGCTGCTGACAATATAGCCATATATTTTGGACATGGTGATGGTACTGTGGCAAGCCCAGTCATGTTTTCAACTGGCTATGGCTCTGCTCCGTACATGATTGCTGTTGGTGATTTTGACAACGATTATCGACTAGATGTCGCTGTCGCAAATTTCGGCACAAATAGCATCGGTGTACTCCTCAGATTCCAAAATGGGTCTTTTGCAAACAAAACAGTTCTATCAACTGCATCATCTCGTCCCATTTGGATACATGTAGCAGATCTCAACAATGACGCAGCACTAGATATTGTCACTGCTAATTACGGCACACACAGTGTTAGCATATTTTATGGATATGGAAATGCAAGCTTTTCAAACCCAAGCACGTACTCTACAGGCTACGATTCTTTTCCGTTAGCGGTTGTTAGTGGCGATTTCAACAACGACAAACAGATGGATCTTGCTATCGCCAATTATGGTACCAATAATGTTGGTATCATGCTTGGGGCTAGTAACGGCACTTTCGCAAGGCAAAGCACGTTCTCAACTGGTCTTAATTCCCATCCATACTCGCTTGTCGCTGGTCATTTAAACGAAGACACTAATCTAGATATTGCCGTCACCAATCATGGAAATAACAGTGTGGGTATACTTCTTGGGGATGACAACGGAACTTTTATAAGACAAACGACATATTCGCTCGGCACGGCTTCTCCCTATTGTATTGGCATTGGTGACTTCAACAACGACAATCGAATGGATTTAGTCATCACCAATAATGGCACTGACAATATAGCTCTACTTGCCGGATATGGCAACGGTACATTTGCAAGCGCAAAAATGTATTCAACTGGATCTTCTTCATCAATCTCCATTGCCATAGGTGATTTAAACAAAGATAATCGTTTAGACATTACCTTCATCAACAATGATACGGGCACTATAGGTATTATGCTTGGCTATGATGAGTTTTTTCCAATTCAAACGACATATTCAACTGACCTTGCACCGTACTCTGTAGCTATTGGTGATTTCAACCATGACACCCGATTAGATATCGTAGTTGCTAATAGGGATAGCAACACTGTAGGTGTACTTCTCGGATATGGAAATGGTTCTTTTGCTGATCAGATGACATATTCAACTGACTCTTTGCCATTCTCTGTAGCTGTTGGTGATTTTAACAACGACACTCTATTGGATATTGTCGTTGCTAATAATCGTGACCAGACTGTAAGTATCCTTCTCGGATATGGTGATGGCTCCTTTGCAAATCAAACGAAGTATTCAACTGGCTCTGAGCCAGTCTCTGTAGCTGTTGGTGATTTTAACAACGACACCCATCTGGATATCGTCGTCGCCAATTCCAATGGCGGCACTGTAAGTGTACTTTTAGGATATGGAAATGGCTCTTTTACAGATCAAACGACATATTCAACTGGCTCTCAGCCATGGTCTGTAGCTCTTGGCGATTTTAATAATGACGTCCAACTGGATATCATCGTTGCTAATTCGGGTGACAATACTATAAGTGTACTTCTCGGATATGGCAATAGTTCTTTTGCAAATCAAACGACATATTCAACTGGCTCTATCCCATACTGTGTAGCTGTAGGTGATTTTAACAATGACACCTATCTGGATATCGTCGTCGCTAATTCGGGTGATAACACTATAAGTGTACTTCTCGGATACGGTGATGGCTCTTTTGCAAATCAAACAACATATTCAACTGGTTCTGCGCCAAGCTCTGTAGCTGTTGGTGATTTTAACAACGACACCCAACTGGATATCGTCGTTGCTAATTTTGGTGGCAACACTGTAAGTGTCCTTCTTGGATATGGCAATGGCTCTTTTGCAAATCAAACGACATATTCAACTGGCTCTGCGCCACAGTCTGTAGCTATTGGTGATTT